CCGCTTCAAGTTTTCGTTTATATTTGCCATACTGTGAAAATATTAAATGTGACTTTCTTTTGGTTTTTTTTACTTAAGACACAACGATAAAACAATACTAAAGTATTTGCACAAACTCGCTTTAGTGGGGCTCAACACATGGTCTACCTTTTACAACAGGCTCTACCAGTCACACGAAGGAACATCAAAAATACGCAAGCTACTTCTTAATCTGCCATCGGCATGGTAGGTGATAGCTCACCTTTGGAGTTTCATTTAACATGGTAACTTAATTATTCCGACTTTTTATAGTTTCATTGCTATTGCTTAAGAAAGCATTTCAACGGTTGCAGTGGTGGGTATTACAAATAATGTCACTGTGATAGAAAAACTAAATGATACAAACGAAACTGGATGCGACTTCAAAAACTATGGAAGGGACTTTCACCACCGGGAAATTAGACAAAGCATAGAAGCGGGAACTCATCCCCTATTCCGGGGCCCTGTACTAAGTTGCAGGTAGACTATGGTTAGTGTTAAGGTTAGGATTAAGATCGAGTTTTAGTTAACGTTGAGATTTACGTTAGGGATATGAGCATGAATCGATTAAATGTGCCCTTCCTGAAATTTTGCGTAAGCTTATCGGGGATTCCTAGTCCTCCGCCCTATCGGAAATATATCATATTGCCGAAGGACCAACTCTTGGTTCGAATAAGATCAATGTTCAGAAGTGGAGTTTGCGAGCATAGGTAGGCTTTCGAGCCAGTACATTCATATGGGAAAGGCGTACAAGTTAAACATACAAGCTCTCTTCCTACCTCCCTCCCTCGTTCCCTTGACTGGCTCCACCAAACCCTCACCACCACATAACCAGTCTTCTCTTATCGACCCCTCCGCCCTATTTACACAACTCACTTATATGATAAGACGAAAATTATTGACCGCGTGTTTAGCTTGGACTCTGTTCCGATATAAACGTACTGGCCCGACGAGAATTTATCGACCGCTTTCGTAGGCTCGCCAAATGCTCTTCTGAATTCTCTGATGGGGTTTGACAGAAATAACATAAGATGAAGGTAACTGATACACCAAGGTTGCGATTACTATACCACCGCATATCCATCCAAATTAGCAGCTACCTCATTCATCGCAGATTTTTCCTTCCTGTGATAATCAGTTGATTTTCCGCAGCCGGGTTATTAATTACCATAGTTGCAACATTCGTAGTGGTTACTAGTGTAAGAAGAATTCGGCAGTATGACTTGACACTGCCAGTGGAAGCGG